GCCTGTTTCTGCACCATGTCAGCCAGTTGGCTAAAACTGCAGCCCCACAAATACCCGCCTGCACTGATCAATGCTGATGCCCCCTGTATGGTTTTGCGCTGCACTGCGCATAAGCCCAAGCCAGAATATTTGCTCTCAGCTGCGCGTGATGAAACTGGCCGTTCAACATCATACAGCAAGGTCTGCGCAAACTGCTCATCAGGCAACGAAGGCGTCTGGTCAGTAGCGGTAGCGGTAGCGTGTTTCTGGATGTCCTGCTTTGCAAGCCAGTGTCCAAAAAATCGCTGCAGGTCATTGCCAATGTCCTTGACAAACTTCAACAGCCGGTTTGGCTGCGGGTCCGATGACAGCTGTTGCAACTGTGATTTGGCAAGGCGGCATGCGCGGGCATACTCAGCAGGCGGGCGTTGAGGCTGATTTGCTGCTTCTGCTTCGTCTTGCTGACGCAGTGCGGCCCTGTAGCTGTGGCTACCGCGCAAGCCACATGGCCGTGTTTTGGCCGTTGCTTGCGGCCTTTCAACTTCTGGAAAGCTGGCATCTGGCAGATGATGTTGTCCCTGCAAAACTTCTAGCCAAGATGTTTGCCCTGCACTGTCATTCTCTTCTGCCATTGCAAGACTCAGGCATCTTCTGGCTTAAAGTTTAAAGAGCAGCAATGTCTGTGACAGCGCGACATGCAAAATGTCAGACCCTAGCCTTCTGATTGGGATCATGTCAGGCCTACAGTCTGGAGGCTGCTCAAGTCAAAACAGGGGAGGTGTCTCAAAGCAGGTAGCGCGACCATATTGCACCAAGGACCCCCACTCTCCAACCGAAAAAAAACATGCGAAGTGCTAAACACTACAAGGCAGCAACACACCCACTCGCACCGGAAATCTGTCCTTGGCCGGGCCAGGCGAAGCCAAATGTCCAGCTTGTGCTTGGTCACGACCACATGCCATCCTGGAAGGCCTCTCTCCTGCGCGCCATTGCTGATGAGGTCGAGGAACCTGCAAAGGGAAGCAAGTCTGGTCAACCAAGTCAGAATCTAAGAAGCAGGTGTCAAACGTGTTGCGTGGAGTTGCAAGATTATGGCCCGACCTCATTTTTCCAAACCTGCCTGTTCATGGGGGTCTCACTCTCGGAGTCGGACTCCGGTTCGTTGAAACCCTCAACTTGTTCCATGATGACAGCCTTTGGAGCACCGGGGTCCAGCAAGAAGTTCAGGGCATCTGTGAAAGTGACACTGTAAAGGGCATGCTGTTTCACTGAGCCGTCGTGGAACCTCTTGCCCCTCTGAAGGGAAAATGGGTCGCACGGCGTCCCAAAAACGCCTAGGTCAGCGTTCACCGGTCTTGCGCACGAGGGAGAGCGCGGATGCAAGATGCACGGCTTGCCAGCGTTCTGCTCCGCAAATGTTGGGTGCACATGCTCAACTTTGTGATTGGCAAGCATGAATCGTCTGAAGGGCTCGCACGGCTCGGATGTCGCAGCCGCCACGAACTCAATGCCCAGGGCCTAGCAGCAGCAACCGAGTTGGGCAGATACAGCAAGGCAAACAACCCGGCGTTGTTAACAACAGTGAGGCAAGACAAGACCTCAGGTCTACGCAATCTTCTGAGCCCTTTGGTCCACACAGTCTAGAGTCTAGAGTCCGGTAAATGTGATGTGTGCGTCTTCCGCTCTAACAAACTAGTCCTGCTTTGTTCTGCCGTGCCCTCTTCAGTGTCTATTTCTAGTTCCAAGGCCCCGTCTCCAATGACACGCCCAAAGGCCACAACCAGTAACCAGTCCAAACGCCCATGACCGCAGAATGTACCCTGCCTGCAAGGCCACTGCTTCGGATAGAGCAGCACTGCAGTTGGAAACGAGTTGGATTGGATGCCCGCGTGGCGCCCCGCCGGCGGTCAACGTCCTCGTGGCCTGTTTCATGTTCTGGACAAACCATGGATCACTGGTTTGAGGGCTTCTGGGGACACACACCTGCTCTGCATCACTGTCCGATCTGCAGGCGTCTGCTTCTTCGGCCAAGCTGGAATCCAGCTGGCTGTCTGTCAGCATGTCATCCAGAACGTCAAGCCAGCCGGGCATCGGGTGTCAGCTTCGGGCCTAGGGCCTAGGACTAAACCTCAAGCCCAAAACAACTACACGTCACGCAAGTCTGCCTCCCAATGCATCCTGACAATCAAGATATAAACGTAGCCACTGCTTGCTTCATTGTCTGCACCCCACTCCCGCCACTGGTTTGGGACAAATCCACAGATTTGCTTCTTTGACAAGCGCAACTCAACTGTTCCCCTCTTTCTGCGCATGCGTGTTGTTTTGTTTGTGTTTTCTGTTTTTATTGTTTTTTTCTTGTTTTTTTTTTTTTTTGTTTTGTTTTTTTTCCCGGGGTGTTTTTTTGTTTTGTTTTTTTTTTTCAGTGTGTATTTTTGGTTTGTATTGTTTTTGTTTTTTTTTGTTTTTTTTTATCTTTTTTGTACTTCCCAGTTATTGCCTCAGTGAAAGTCTTAACAGTAAT